ACATGAAGATAAAAACAGATATTTGGATGACCTTGTCTGCATGTACCGATGAACGCCATCTTAACGATATACGTGTTTCTTCAGCATAACTGCCGCTCACGTCGGTCACGCTTTTGACTCAAGGTCAAATTTTTTTCTAACGGTCTAAAATTCATTTTCAAAACATTATATTCTGAATTAGAGGATAACTTGTTAAAAACAACTGCGACTAATTATTGGTAGGCGTAAACTCTAACTTGAGCACTAGATGATGGCGTCTCAGATTCTGTGGCGTATCGCGAGTAACTAAGCGGTATGACGCTTTGAATAGCATCGCTTTTTGTACAGACGACATCGTACTGATCATGACGTTCCATAAGGCCAGTAAGAATAGTAGGAAGTCTAAGATGATTACAGCTGCTTTTACGGCCACGTATCGCGACTCGATTTCACGGAACAGGCATCTAGCAAAGGAAATCGAGTTTGCTGACTGATACAAATATCATAAGCGGCTCAGCTGTTCTCTAGGAGTCGTAGGTAAAAAGCCGGGGTTATTTGCCACCGGTTTAAAAAATCTAATTAAAACCACCTTTAGTTCCTTTTTATCTTACTCTTGGAGTATTTCATGTGGTAAAAGTCAGCTTCTATTATACTTCTGATCGAACTGGTTGGCTTATTAAGAAGCCTCAAAGATGAAGCACATACAAGTCTTTCCATGCTCATGTCACGCGTAGATTTCTAGACGAGAACGATGCAAACGACTCTAGAAACAGTAGTACCAATATCAGTGATGTCCTGCTTTATACAACCTTGTCCCATGTTTTTAAATTGGGTTTAGGTTTTACCGTAAAAAAGTACCACTTTTATTCGACTCGAATATGCCTATATCATAGAGATCTGTGACGCTGTAGAATTTAAACTTGACTTTTGTGGCCTGTTACAAAAAGATATCAGAAAACTCTTTGCACGTGCTATGCCGTGACGCCATAGCGAAATTACTAGTCCATTCGAAGATCGCGATTTCACATATAGAGAACACAATTCGAAACCACAAATTACATATGGCGCATCAGTATAATTTTTTATGTTTATTTTGAATTTAGTAAACTACTTGCTACCTGTTAGGGCGCTCATAAGGTCACACGGTAGAGTCGGACTGTCCCGTTCTAGAGATTTACATTAGAAACCGAGTGACTGACGAAATGCTTTTAGGTAAATATTGTTATGCTTCATCTAAAGGTTTCTAGAAGCGATGTACAGAAAGGTAGACCGAATCTGTTAAGAGATATAAAAGAATATCAATCATATAAGTAGGTGGAGTTTAGAGGTTCGTTCTGTAAGTGCTTGTTTCAAGACATCGTCCTTTGCCAACTTATCGACCTAATGCCTGTCATGAATCGTAGGGAAAGTGATCTTCTTAATATACCACAGACGTTCGTAAACAATTTCTCTCATTACCATTAGTATTGAGTTAATTGAATTCAGTCTCTGACAAATACAAACTCAATTATATCCGTGCCTACCCGTGTTGTTGATGAATACGATAATCATCTTCGAAGTAACATATAATTTTTCCTCGTGGAAGTCGCACGCACAGAAAAGGCAAGTAATTGGATTACATATGATAGATGAGTTATACGTAAGGATATACCGACGGCATTCGGAGAACATTCCCGTGGGGGAGCTGTTTTGTGTTTACGAAGAACAATGTATTTTTTTTCAACCGTTATATTAGTCCTGTGTAATGGTGCAATTTAGTCGTGTGCAAAATAGGCAACTTTAAGTCTTGTAAACTTAGGCATCCTTTTAATTAGAGAAAAAAAAAGATCCGAGCTAAACCAACATGAACCTCTGCCAGCGGTGTTTCTGCGTACCTCGACCTCATGTGAACCAGAAATGTGTTTTAAAGATCCTTTATACCTGAGAGCCATTGAGGCTGGTAGTTGTCGCAAAAAAGATTTTTACTACCATTATTCATAATTTGCTCGAAATTGAACGCCACTAAACAGCAGACGGTGTCGTCCCGAACTATCGCTATGAATACGTCTTAAGCGACTACTAAAAAAAAAAGTATAAGTAAGTAGATTTCTCAATATGAAAAGCAATAAATAGATCTACTTTTTGCTCTGGAAAATGTTTTTTCTATTAATAACTCATAACAAAGTCAAAATTTTAAATGTATCTCTCTGTACTATTATTTATGGCGTTGAAAGCGCCCCCAACTAAAGATGGGTGGCTTTGTGCGCCACTTAGACCGTGCAATCAATTTTTTCACTGCTATTAATCACGGAATGAGAAAACAGTGTAGCAGCTGGAGTCGTGTACAGTTCCGTAAACAAATTCATCAAAAATTCATTCGCGGGATAGCTGCAATGAAACAGATTCAGGCAGATAATAAGATAAGGTTGCTAGTAAAATAGCATTATGGGAATACAGCGGCGAGTTGCGCGGTTATTATAATTATCGCCATAGTCGAATGTGGGCGGCTTTAGAGTCTTGGGATCGGTTGGAAATAGTACGAACTAAATTAGGTGAACGATGAAGCCTAACATGGGTATAAATTATACGTCATGTTATGCATGTGGATAGAATCAACTGGTCTTGAAAGGCCTGTGCAACGCTTGGAAAAGTGAATTAAATTTATTTTAATTGTGTTACAGTTTATGCAAGGCTGCGGCCTTGTTAAGGACCGCTCAAAAACCAACAAAAACTCGCCAATAGAACTTGCAATTCTGCATCGGTCTATGTGATAGGGTGTACAACTCCATGTGATCCATAGGACCAGCCTGTAGTTTTCGTCTTTACAGGGATGATTTTAATTTATTGTCTGCTTTATATACATATAATCATTGTTGTCGTCGTCGTCGTCATTGTTTAAATTGCATAGATCCATTTCGAAGACGCCAAACATTTGGACGACACGTCCTGTATAACTTCTCACTTTGTGCCGACTTGAATATTTACGAATATGCCTTATACTTCAGCCAATATTTAGCGTGACGCCTGGGAATAGGCAATTTTGCCCAGAAAAAAGATTGCCTCTTTCAGCAGTAGAAGTTTGTAGCACGTGGAAGGGCGAATCATACGGAAATCTAGGGAAAATTGGGGAAGTCGTTTTCTTTTTGCAAAGTGTCGCAAGCAGGACCAGCCACATATGAACATCATGTAGCTGCGATACAACGCCATTGGCCAACGCTCTGTCTGCTAATTTTTTCAGCTTTTTGCGCAGTAAAATTTGATCAGCTTAAATATTAATATACATATTAACTAGAATGTGCTGTAAATAGGTTTTCAGCACTCCAAAGAAATTGTTGCTTGTTGCGAAAGTGTAAGTGATGAAATATTGAGACCATCCTCAGGCAACCTCAAGAAGAACGCAAATAGTATTTTAGCATTTATCGTATGCTTCCAAAGGCCTCAATCAGTGACCTGAAATATTAAGTACCATTGATCCAGGCATGTGAAGAAAATCTCAGAAAAGACGCTATATATGAGAAGCAGAAATGAAATCGCAGACGTCTTACCCAGGGTCACGATGGATGTTATTAGGATTATGCCGACTGTTACATCAACGCTGGTTTTTATACCACTCTTGGGAGTTTTTTTAAATGATATTTAGGTGTACAGATTCATTTCCTTTACATTCATATATTTTCTATTAAAATTTAGGCACACATCCAACTAAGGTCAAGGTCGACTTCTTTTTCAGTCGAACTCTTGATTTGCACACTAGACCGGCACACGCTTAAGCAACCCCATTTAATGCATTACCCGCTGTTATCGGGTACATGTGCTATGCGTTCACAACATCTCGCTCAGAAGTTTGTTTCTCACAAAAGAAATCTTGGAGCCGTACATGTTTGCGTCCATCTAAATAATTCACTGCTTCTCGCTTAAGCCGCTGCAGTTTCATCATCGTCCATTTACCTAGTAGTTGCGTTTCGGGCTGCGAGCGACCAAAACGTCCCTTCAGGCTTCTCTGTAGAAGCTGTGACAGGTTCCTTCCAGCTGCCGTCATTTCCTGTTGGGATACGTTTCATGTTTCACCGTATGAAAAGACTCCAAGTCCTTTATGAGCACTACTCTTCCAGCAGATTCGTAGATGGCCCTGTTATTTTCCTTTGCTCCGTACAGGCATCCGCCCTTAGCCGCTTCCACCTAACCCGCCTGCTCAGAAAGCTATTTCGTAGAATATTACCTAAACGTTTACAAGATAGCTCTGGGTTACCCAGGACGCTACGGTGTTGCAGATCTTTCTTTCTTTACAGACGTGCTGCTACCCCTCGTACTCAGTTGAGCCCCGAACCTTTTCCTCAGTTTTCACCCTTTCTGGTCCCCTCTCAGCTATAGTCTGTCGCTTGATCTCTCTCCCATAACGAACTTACTCCTCTCCGTGCAATCTCAACCCGTAGTGCAGCCTACCCGCCTAGGAGTCAGATGGCTGCGCAGTTTTTACGCGCCAAACACAGCCACTGCTGTCGTCGACTCCTCGACCCTTTCCAGTGATCCTTTCTCTCCGCCCTTTCTTCGCAGACGATGATGGTAATATAGTCGCTGTAGTTGTTATTATACTAATTTTTGTAATTCTAGTTCGCATCACTATTTGTCATTATCGTTTCCCAATCCAATCCTATCCTATTCTATTCTATAGGTGATGCTGCTGCTGCTGATGTGACGCTGCTTCTATTGATTGGTTTGTCTCTTCGCGGTAGGTAAAAAAGGCAACGTTCGTGGCAGGATAAGCGGACGCTACTGTATGAAATAAGCTTCACTGTGGGCTATGCTACTGCTATAAGCAGCGCTACTGCTATCAGCAGCGCTACTGCCATCGCCTTTTATTCTTCCTCGCAGATCTGCTCGGCGTTTCCAAGGCACGTCGCCTGCCTGGCTGCCCTAGCATCGGCTGTCCTCCGTCACTTACCTTGCCCTTTCCCATCTTCAACGTTGTGTTGTTGGAGGACGGCACGATAGAGGAAGAAGAGCTGATTAAGGTCATTTCTCCAGCTGATGCCTCTGGTGCAACCGCTGCTACTGCGGCTGCGTGTGCACCTCGTAGGGACTGTGTGTTGGAGGCAGTACTATTGTAATCAGCATCTCTACGATAGGTTTATGTATCTAAAACGGCTTATGTAGGAGCATTTTCGGCACAAAATGTCCTATTTGTTCGCGGGGCTTTTCAGGCACCTTTGTTCGGTTCGTTGTCGTTCGCTGGACGAGCGATAAAGAAGGGCCATCACCATCAGAAAAACCGTTAAGCCATGATATAGTGTGTTGTTGACCAGTTGACGTTGTTGTCGTGCGTGCGTCCGTGAGTATGTATTTGAATTTGTTTTCCTCTTTCCTGATCAGACGAAAGGGAAAAGAAAGAGGAAGAAAAGAAGGGAACGTGCCGCTGCTTCCCGCCAACTCCGCAGCTGCTGCTATTGCACTCAAAGAGGCGGGAAGCGGCAAGAACTGGTGGGCGTTGGAAATAAAAACCGCACAGGGAAAGCTCGCCCGCTTATTTTTTTTGCATACTGCATATGAGCTAATCGCAAGCCGATGCGTGGAACACAAATGATAGTGTAAGGAAAAACGACGATCAACCACGGGCCCAACATTTCTGCTGCAATCGAGAGCCTGTCCGTAGGTCCCGTCGCACTCCCCGACGCTGCCCCGCTGCTGCATCTGTTGCATACCCCGGCGTCGTCTTAACCGTCGCGGTCGTCATTATCCCTCTGGTGGCAGTTGTGGCGGCGCCTAAGTTAGCGGCTCCAATCGTTGACGTTGCCTGTGCCGCCGTTGTTACCTGAGCTCGTGGTGTCGATGTTGGCATCGGAGATGGTGGCAGTGGGGGCGGCGGCGCTGGTGGTGGGACAAGACCTCTTTTAACCGAACAGGTACCCGGCGTTCGCGGCGGTGGCGCCGCCGCCGCCGCTGTCTGCTCTCGCCGCTCCAACCATCCGCCGCTAAAACGACATCATGGAGAGCCAGTGATCGTAGGGACAGAAGGCGGCAGTGGCCCTGCTGGTAGCACTCCTGCTAACTGTAGTCATTATAGGAGCTGGAGTCAGACGGAGTCCGAAAGCGCTTGTGGGCTTAAAGAGGGACAGGCTAGGAAGGCGAACAGGCAGCGCGACAGCCAATACTCATTATGTAAGACTACTACAGCTGTACATATTTTACAGTAGTATCTTCTGTTAACGCTGCCGCAGCTCGTTACTGATAGCGTTGTCTCTGTTATTGGAACACTGGCAGAGTCCCGTCTTGTGTCAACCGTTGTTAAGCTGCAACGACCAGATTCATTGTAGTTGTTCGACCAATGCCGCTGGTTTAACAGCTCACGACAGGTACGAAGGTGTGGAGCGGCAACAGTGATAATTAGAGCGGGCTTCGGTAGTAATGTATGGTGTAGTTCGATTTCCGGCGGAACCTTCCGATCTTCGCGTGCGCTACCACTGTGTACAGCCAACGCTTCGCCGTAACGTCGTGTCACGGTAAGTGCTGTCCTGTAAAACTGCTTCGGGCACATATCCGTGTAACAACAGCACCAATCAATAAACCAATCAATGTCGGCAATAGCGAGGGAGCAAAAAATCGAGGAAAGTAGTGAAAGAATAGAACAGTCGCAGTTGTCATCGGCGCTCTGCGTTCTAACGACGACAGCCACAATGATTTAGTGTAGCAACGATGATAGTAACAACAGTAAATGATCGCTGATCTCTAATACCTCCGTTGTTGGTATTGACGTTTCTGCCAGCACCATAGCGGGATTTTAACAGGAGCATCTTTCCTACTACTACAGTCAGAACTCATAGCTCTTCTGCTGGCAAAGCAGTTACGTTTGCAGTAGTATTACGGTGTCGTCCGTTCCTCACCTAGATCATTCATCGCGCTGTCATCGAGGGTGCTATATCCACTCGACAAGGATCTCTTCCGTCAATGTTCAGAGTAGCCCGTTCACGTCTTTTATTAAGTCGTTAGGTCAGCCCGACGGGGACTATCGGAGCAGTCGAGGTCTCTGACTTGAGGCTTGGCTGCTAGCTTTGCTGGCCATCTCCGTCAACGTATATCTGTACCTAACACAGACGCGTACAATCAAAAGTAGCTGCTGAAAAAATCTGGACCTGGAAAAAAATATCGGAGAATAACCGTGTGGATACCGCCGGCGTTTTGCATATTTAGCGGTGAATCTCTGGCCCCTGTCATTGTTCCTTGTATCTTCTTGGGAGCATAACAATACTTCGTTTCCGAGAAAATAGTGTAAAACAAAATGGAAGAAGACGAGATACTAGAGTAGTCCTGACCCACTGAAGAACACGTGCAGTGCGCGGTTAAAGCAACAGGCTTGTTCTTTAGTTATGTTTCCTCGATTATATGTTGACTTATTGCAAACAAACATGCTGACTGTGTTAAATTGTGCGTGTGCGTGTCCGGTAATGTAATGAGATCGGAAATCTGAAAAGTGTGGACGGACTTTTCTTGGGTCTGTTGAGTCTTTCGAAGTTACGCCGACTCGAAGATTAAACAAATTTCGTGCGGGAGCGACAGGTGATACAAATGTCTAAAGGAAGAACCGAAGGGGTGCGGCTCTCTCAAGTGATTGTCTTATTCCTTGCCTCTTTCGAGTACAGAAACCATTTCGTGAAAATCCTTGTTCTCCATAAAGATTTTCAACCAACTGAACTCAATTTGGAATCGAAGGTGTAATTCCGGTACGAAAATAAACAACAAAACAAAATCAAATTTGATGAATTGTCACCGAAGTAAGTAAACAATTCTCAGCGATATAGATGTTAAAGAATTAGAAAGCAAATTCCAGTCAGTAACAACTTAGGTTAGACATGCGTGAGTCTTTCCCAATGTTGCAGTTATAAGTATCCACATATTTGTTAGTGAGCAATGATGCCGGTTAAATCTATAATAGATATGTCCATATATAGACATATATTATAACGGGTTTACATCCTTGAAATATATCGACAAGTATTATATGAGTATTTCGAACTCTACTGCTGAATACTCAATAAAAAGGTTATCAATTAAAGAATAATCGGGCATCTTTAAAACAACGTCTATCAGCCAGCTAAATAAATCTGTGCGTTTTGGGTCTATGGAGAGCTACGAACGAACCCTATACGTATCCTAGGTACGTCGCCTAGATACTTTGTGACGCTGTGGACAATGCATAAGGAGAGTGTACGGAATTACCTTGTAATTTTGAGCGTTCGAGCGTGACTTATCGAAAAGATAAAGCAACATCAAGCAGAAGTTCTATGCCTTTGATTTTTACCCTCTCTCTGTTTTATGTTGCAGCGTAAATGTTTATTTATACGATTGAAAAGCTGCAATAATGGAGCTAATAATTCGTCACTTCACTAATGATAAACCAATTTCGAATTCAGAAGAGCTACACCGCGAACCCATCGTTTATTGAATTTGCACTAACATTGGCCATTGTCATTGGCACAGATCTATTTAATGCGTATAAAAGGGGCTAGTAAGATTAGCTCAGTTATCAATGTCCTGGGAAGAAATGCCCTCTACATATAGACGAAATTTTTTGTGAATGTAGTCTTCAAAAATTCATTATTAGGGAAACTCAGAATCGGTTGCATGTAACATTTTGAACGAAAAATTGTTAAAGAAATGCAGCATTTCATTTAGAGAAAGATAACGAAAATATATTTTTATATCCATTTTTATTTATAGAATATACCAGATCATTGTTTATAAATAAAGACGAAAGTGATTTTAATGAAATATCTCGATTAGAAATAAAGCTCAACCAGTTAGCAATAGGTGAGAGGTACCAACACTATATGAGATATTTGCGTCTAAATGAAATCGAACCCAAGAGGCGACTGCGAGCCCTAGAACGCTTTAAGAAAAGCTTTTGTAGAGTGAAGCTTATCTACTCCCATTTTGAAAGCCTACTGGTCTCGAACTGAATTACGTTAGAATAGGACCATAGCATTCATATAAACGGTTATTGCTTCAAACTAACCTTTAAGAAATCGCACGCAACAACGTAAAATGCCCTTGAAAAAAAACGAAGTCGTCAAGTTAAGAAAACTGCCCATGTTTAATCCCGTTACCGCATCAAATAGGGTATGGAAGTCGCCAGCAGTTGAAGGTATCGAAGGCTCTTAGGTCAAAGTCCGCTACAAAGCCTATATCAGTATTGGAAACTGATAATGGAAAAGAACCCATAGATTATGATCTGATGCCTTTTCGCTGTGCTATAAACACTATAATAAGAAAATGCATTTTATACGCATCTTTTTTTATAAATTCACTTTGACTTTATCAAGTCTATGCGGCTCCAGGGAATCGTCCTAATAATATACTAGGCGCTATGCTATCGGCTTTTAAAACTTATGAGGACTGCGTTCTTATGATGAGAATGATGGGAGCTGATTTTATTTTCTATCGATTACCGTTATTATGGCTAAATATTACCATAAAACAAATTAGCAGGCCGGTAAATGTATTTGCTTTTTAGTGGGAATCGTTGGCCTGCTCAATAAACTGTAAAAAGAAGAAAACTCAATCCGCTAAAACCAGGACCAGACACTTTTTGAGACGCATCTTTCGCAAACATACATTCTAGTTTGCCGATGTGTCAATTTTAATCCTCTTTTTATTCGGTTTGGCGTCAATATAACGCTTAAAGTAACGTAATTTTTTTTTACTGTTTGGTCGCTCCGGTCAAATATAACCTTCTGTACATAGAGATAGATATATCGTATCCCTTGACACGAATAGCCTTTTCCAAGCTAATATTTTTAGTTCGCCACAAGGCTTTGCAGCTTATTTTACAATAGGACCGAATCTTGCATTTAAGGATAGCATTCGTGGCCGCAAATAGCTCCGTGATAAATCCAATTGATTATTCATCCATATAGACCGATTGTGTGGAAATAATGCATCTGCAACACATCTATGTGTAATTGTATTACATGTAATAGCAAAATGCAAGGGATGAGAGAAGCGCAAAATTTCCAACGACGAACTCGCCACCAGCGCACTAATACCGGTCGGTCCGTGAGTTCGTCGGAATATGGGAAGTTACGCTCGCCGTACACCCTCACGGGCTACTTCTAGCTTAGGTATCTGCACTGCGGTGGCGTATTATCGCAACTGATTACCTCGTATGTGTACGATGGACATTGTGACGTTCGCCTGTCTTCGTCTGTTTTTATAGTTCAACCTGTTCGAACTACTTCTATGCACCATGTGCCGTTTACATCCTCAGACCGATGTATGTATATGTGTTTACGTATATAGATGTGTACACAAACAATCAAATATACGTCAACGTGATCGAGCTCGGCGTCGAGGTAGGAGGCGATTGTTTTGCAACTACAAAGATAGAACTGGCAAGTGGGGGCATATCAATGTTAACAATGCATGATTGACTTGCGAGCGGGCGTACGTGCATCTTCGCCATAGTAGTAGCACACAATATGATGCGTAGCGTATGGCTGAATAGCGTCGTCAAAGCAGAGATCATCGAAACCCATTGACAACATGGAACCGGAAAAATCTTTGCGAGGGTGCGTGCAATGAGAAATACAGTAGACCAGCTATAATATTAGGGCTCGTTGCTTAGAATGAAGCGCTGATTGAAAGGCATGGCTCGCAGCTAGCTTTCCTTTTGATCGTCGGGGCTTCGTCTAAGTCAATTGAAGTGGGAATCATCACACTCAGAGGTGGGCATACCACACACGACCATTCAAGCACGATCAGCCATATAGCTGGACGGAGACCCACACATTTGGCCACGGTCATTTTCTAGCTAAACCATCACGTACCACTAAATTATATTCGCAAACGAGTATTCTTTTTGCTGTTGTCACTGCCATTGCCGTACGCACTCCGTTTGTTCGTGGAATTGCCCAGCAGAATTAGCAATGGTAGAGACTAATGCTCTTTAAGGGTAGCGTAAATTGGTCGAATCAGCCTTGGAAATCGCATTAGATACAATGCTATACGATGCGCCAGTCGCTTAATGGAATCAAGCCAGCCAGTCAGCTAGAAAACGTTCCTCCAGCTGGAAAAAAGAGACTCAAGAAGCCTAGTCATTTGTCGAATTAGGATTGATTGCTGATCTACTGCTCCCGAAACCCATACGTTAAAGCGGAGCAGAAAGAAACGTCGGACAAGATTACGTCCGGGCATGCGAGCGACGTAATGTAAATTCGTTACGTAATAATCGATCGATAGAAAGAATAGCAGAAGGCAAAGCGACGCGCTAAATAAGCTTTGAAAAGAACGATTTCTCGATCTTAAATGTTTGTTTGTTTAAAAGGTTGCAGAACACATGTCACATAAGGATAATAAATATAATTACTTGGCTGTTAGCAAGTGATAATAAAAGGGTTTTGATTTTTTATAGACCGTAACCCCAATAAAACTTTCGAAGGGGTAATTTATTGTTTGTATCAACATTTGTCTAGGCCTACGCTTTATTAATTGTGTACAAAACATTACATTACGGCTGTTCATTAACCTGGCGATAAACTGGCTACTCGAAATAAACCAAAATGTCACCAAAATGTTTAATGTAGGTCACATACGGTATCATTTCATAATCAACTGAAGCATAGTCCTGCTATTACAATAGCCTGCGGCGAGTCTAAATGGCCGATTGAGTAGATAGATGATTTAAACTTGTACAAAAGAGAGCCCTTGCAAAATGGTCGATGAAAACATTTTAAAGACCTATTAACTTATAGGTCAGAAAAAAACCTGTTACGTACATTTTGCATCGTGATGCCTAGCTCTAGCCATTTAGGTCACCGCGGCGACTCTTGATAGAGAGATTCGCAACTGATATTTGCAAGCAGGTATCGTAAATAGATTTTTTTTTAGCAGAGAATAATTTTTGAAATGAGGTCGTGTTGCCTTCAGAAGTTTTAGCCAAAAATATACGAATATAAACTACTTGCATTGCCTTTACACTGTTCATTCTTCAAAACTTTTACAACCTGATCCATCGAGACATTGGAGCGCAACATTTATTGAAAATATTATTGTTTTTGGCATTAACATAACAGATTTTGAACTGTGTGTGTTATACCCAAAGTATTTTGAGGTACTGAATCATAATATCGAACGGATATCTTCAATGATAAACAATTGACAGCGATATTCATTGTGAAACGCATATTGTGAGAAACAACAAATCAACTAGGGCGCTCTCCATACCTTTTTGCGTTTCGGTAGAAATAGAGCAATAACTAGTAAAGTCTACTATGTAACGAAGCAACCTTTTCTTTTCGACTAAAGGAAAAAAAAGATGCGACGCAACCAATTCTCTCCTACAGAGGATGTTCCGAGAGAAAAACTCGTATTTATATACGTACATATGTATTGAAGCGGACACGCTTAGCTTCACCGTTCGATGGCGCGAACAAGAATTCCATAGCCACTCGCCGCATCAGGTATATGTAGCCTGCTTCGGCTTTATATAGCTCTAGCTGTGCATTTATCTATATATTTATTTTATAACATTTGATTCAATCGCCACGCTTCCCCGGTGAGGTGTCCTCGTTCCGCGGCCGGCGGTCTTTAGCGCCCAGTGCGTTTAATTTCAAGTTGCGCTGCTTAGACCTTTTCGTGATCTCTGTATCCGGTATGTGCTGGATGGGATTCGATCTCTATAAAGCAGACTATCTGGGGGCAGAACTAATGCTGTTGATGGTGCCTTGCACGAGTCCGGGCACGAGTAACGGGCACGTACAATGAGACCTCCCGTCAT